TGCATCAGGCATTTAAGGATACCATACCTTCGGCACCCCCTTCGGCACCTAAGTTTTTCTACAGTTGGGGGAAGTGCAAGTGGGATTTATTCATCAAGGACTTCGACGAACAAATTCCAGCACGCGAATATAAGAAGCAGTCCACCGGCATTAAGGCTTTCACGAGAGCGCTTATAACTTCGTATCGACGGCATTGCCCCCGCGGCATGCACAAGGACGGTCCCAGGCTTTGGGACGACACTCTCATGGAGGCAGAGCGGATGGCTACCGACAGCAAGGCCCGCTATCTACAGTTACCGACGCCCGACCGTGAGGCAGAAATGCAACGGACAAGGAGTCAATTCTTCCTCCTACTCCGAGAGCGCTTGCGCAACACGTATCCACGTCGCATCAGCAAGTTAAATCCAGGCGAGCCACTCGCATGGAAACACATTTCCGGACGAAAAAAGGCATCACTTCCATCTCCCACATCAATGTTATTAGGAGATGGCCAACACACTTATAAAACAGCAAGGAGAGCAGCGAATGCTCTCAATCGCATCTTTCTTCCATTTCACCCCTCTCACAAGGCAGTTAGGTTTTCCAAAGGCATCAACAGACAGAGTGCATCTTTGAACATTAACGCTTCTTTTCTTTTTGGGCAGCAGAACAACAGCGAGTCTGCTGCTACATTTACTTCAGGTTCTTCACTCTCATCTAGTTCTGAGCCACAGGATAAAAACGAGGCTGCCACCACATCTGGTTTAGTTGCTCATCTTCACTCCCCTCTTGATGCACCTTTTAATCGTACGGAACTGCTTGCTGCGCTACGTAATACGCCGTATGGCAAGGCCCCCGGACCGGATGAAGTCTACAGTGAGGCACTGCGACATATTTCGTCAAAGGGCCTCCGATTCCTTCTTCGTTGCATTAACCACAGTTGGACGACCGGTACGATTCCGGTTGAGTGGAGACGCGCTACCATCGTTCCACTCTTAAAACCCGGTAAGTCGCCGGAACTGCTTGAGTCATATCGACCCATCAGCCTTACCTCCATTGTGAGTAAGGTTGCTGAGAAAATGGTACTGAAGAGATTGCTTTGGGTGTGGACGCCGCACCCCCACCAGTATGCATATCGTAGTATGCGTACCACGACGATGCAGCTGGCACACCTGATAAACGAAGTGGAGCATAATAGAAATCATTATTTCCAAGTGAGCCTTCCCAAGAAGAGCGGTATTGGCAATCAACTCCACTACAGACCCCATCGGACCCTGCTGGTGCTGGTTGATTTCAGCAAGGCTTTTGACTCCATAGATCATCGAGTCCTCAGTCGCTTGCTGGCTAATATTCCGGGGGTGGATTGTAGAAGGTGGCTTAGAAACTTTCTATGTGGTCGCTACGCGAAGACACGAGTTGGCCACAGACACAGCGATCGGCGTCCCATGCTGCGAGGAGTTCCTCAGGGGTCCGTGCTGGGACCGTATTTGTTCTCCCTTTACGTACACCCACTTCTCAATCTGCTGAACAGCTTTGCGGGTGTCACAGCAGACATGTATGCGGACGACCTCTCTATTATCGTTAGGGGGCAGTCCCGGGAAGACGCCATTCCCACTGCCAACATGGTTCTTAAAAAGCTGCATGCGTGGAGTCAGGAAAATGGCCTGGCCATCAACCCGTCAAAGTGTGAAGCCGCTTGGTTCACACTCTCCCCCCACACGGAGTCAGATTATGATCGTGAAGGAAGGTGGCCCCTGGTAGTGGCTGGATGTCAAATCCCAGTCATGACCATGGGGGCATCGCGAACTACGAAGCTTCTCGGCATGGATCTCGATCCACGAATGACGCTAAATGTGGCGGCCACCAAGCAATGCGCTGCCACTTCGCAACGGATATCGCAGCTACGCTGCATAGCGCACAAAGAGGCGGGACCATCTCCACATGACCTACGCACGTTCGTCATTGGATATGGTGCTTCCAAATTACGCTATGGCAGCGAGCTCATATGGGCAGTAGCGACGGATTCAGGAAGACGAGATGCAAAAGACGTACGCAACTCTAGCACGCATTGCCAGCGGAGTTCCGAGCACTGCCGACCCGGAATCCGCACTACTGGAGGCTAATATGCCGCCGCTCCACGACCTTTGCCTGCGCGCGCGGCTCTCAATATTTGAGAACACACGCGCATGTCAGATGGACTGGATGCGGAGACCCCCGCCTGAGCCACCGCCTCGCGCTGGTTTCCGCATCTCGCCATTATCTCGGGACGAGCTATATGCCTTCGTAGACGCATACACAAAGGACTATGGCATCACCGAGAGCTCACCACGCGAAGAGCGGTTCTTTCGCAGCTCCATTCCTCCCTGGTTTGCGGCCTCCGCTCACCGGGTCACCATCGGTGTGGAACTTCCGATAGACCTCTCAATAACGGACGAAGAGGAGCTGATAAGGGAAAAGCGCAGAGTCAGCGAAGAGGCTCTGGCGCTGCACAGCCATCGTTCGTGGATACTTGCGACCGATGGCGGTGTCGACGCTCCCAAGTCAGCAGGGGTTGGAATACTGCTTTCATCCCTCAACTCATCGGAGATAATAGAAAAGGCCAGCATAAACTGCGGCGCACGCCCATGCAGCTACAGGACGGAATCCCGTGCACTGCTTCTAGCCCTAGAGAAGCTGATGATCCCTCGTATCCGCCACAGGCGTAAAACCCTGCTTGTGGTTACGGACAGTCAGTCTCTTCTAGCGGCTCTAAACAAGGGCCCGCTCAGTCAGACAGACTGGACGGAGGATCAGATCTGGCAGCGTCTCTTGACACTGACGTGTGCCGGCTGGTCCGTGCACCTGCAGTTTTGTTACGGACATCGCGGAGTACATGCTAACGAGCCTGCAGATCAGTATGCGACGCAGACCACGGCAACCGGGCAACACACGGAGCATGGAATAGCACCCATACGGCACACGGATCTGCTGACATGTTTTACTACCCAGCTCACCAACAAGTGGCGTAGTACCATTCGTCAAGACACTCATCGCTACTTGCTTTGCGGCACAAGGCCATCAGATCTCAGCGGCAAGGACCTGATCACTCAGGAAGTTCTACACCGTCAGGAACTGGTTCACCTCGCAAGGGCAAGGTGCGGAGAATCCGAGCTCTGGGGTCGCCTGTACTGGACTGTGAGAGACTGCACGAACCAACGCCGATTCTGCAACATCTCACCGGAACAGTCTGCATATATGCGCTCTAACAACGATCCAACTGCACCGGGGACGGACACTGTCCCCCCGTCGGCGAGGGAGGAAGACGTCTCTCCAGTAAGGAGACGGACCCTCACACGCCGTCGGAAGGAGAAATGTCCGCACTGTGATTCCACATTGACGGGATTCTCGGGTCTCGTCAGTCACTGTCGGTCATTTCATCCGGAACATCCTCCACCGCTTCCCGAGCTCAAATGTGATTTCTGTGACATGGTTTTCCCCACACGGAGAAGCACCGCACCGCACAGAAGTCGCTGCGCACACAACCCAGACGCCACACGGCATCGAAACAGCAGTGCCAGGAGGCGATCTCTGCTGCCGCAGGATCAGCCAGCCTCCAGAAGCACGCCAATCGGCTCGCAGGAATCACTGCACCATCTGCTTCTAAAATGTGCAGACGCTCTGGCTGTGCGCCAACGGTTGGGCATCAAGAAGGACCTTGGCACCAAAAGCTTCTCCCAATGGCAGTTGCTTCATAGCAGTTGCTTCATAGCAGGAAACTTTTGTCGTTGCTCGACCACCTCCTCGGCACCCTGATGACATCGTGTGGCTAGACATGTCGGTAAGAGCAGGGAAAAATAATAATAATGAGCATTCCCGCCACTGTAGAGACGTGGTGCATCTTGCGATCTCGCTGGCGGCTCTCCTCTTCCACCGCTGTTTTTGCGCAAGAGGCCACCACAGTCATTTTTGTGGTTTGGTCGGCCTCGTGTTGTGCTCCGGGTTCTCCTCCTTCATCGCCCTGCGGTGCTTCCTTCGCCGTCCCTGGCACCTGTGACTGTCCCGTGATGGTTTGTTCCGAAGCCTGACTGCCCTGGGAGGTCCTCCCGCCACCAGCATGCACTCCACCCGCTGCCTGCTGAGACGCGTCGGAGCGTGGGGATGCTGTGCCTGCAGCGTGCCCTCCGCCCAAAGACTCCGGTCCAATTGCACGCATCCGAGCAGCAGACGCGCTGCCAATGCAGGACGGGTTGCAAGTGCCACTTCGCAGTGGGTCGCTGCCGGATTGGTCCTGCCTCGTCGGTGCAGTGAGTGGTCCTCCCGAGGTGGGATTGGGGTCCTCACCCGCAATGCTTCCCCCACCCTCCTCGTCTTCCTGATTGCTATTGTCCTCAGAGTTCACATTCTCTTTCGTCCAGAGCCACCGGCCACGGGTCCACCTTCCGCAGCCATCACACCCCGCGCGTGCCCAGCAGTCACCGCGCTATCACCCGCGGCAGCACACGCACCCCGTCGCAGCAGCCCTCACGCACACGCACGAGCAGCTGCGCATCACTGCAGGAGCCAACAGGACGCAGAGCACACGGCCAGTCATCACAAACAGTGGAGTCGCCTAACGCTGCGGAGCCAACCTGCGATAGCACGAGAAAAACAAAGGGAGACACAGCCGCTACACCACGCACAGCAACAAATGGCAGCACCCCAGCAGCAGCAGCGCACACACCACGAGACAGATGGAATCAGTGCGATTGCAGAGCTCGCACACCGCCCCGCAAACCACAAGTTTAAAAGCAATAAAAACAATAATTAAAAAAAGAAATTAAAGAAAAACAAACCCAGGGCTCCAGTGCGCATGCATATGAGTGTGTCCGGGATGCGTTCAACGTGACGGATGCGGGGCACAACGCGGAGCACACAGCACGGCAGCAGAAGCAAGTGAAGCAAAACAAGATCATTATTTCCTCTTATTTTATACAGTGAAAAACAACACACACGCACATTTCCCCGCGGTTGAGTGCTGGCACGCACAGCCCGCACACACCTCTTCAGCCCACAGTGGTGTACGCCAGCGCGGATGCGGCGAGCACCAGCGGGGCACACACCCACGCAGAGCTGCTTAGGCTGCCGTCCATTTCGCGAAGACGTGACGGTGCGCGGGTGGTCGTAGTACTTGGTGCCTCTGTTGTAGTGGTGATTGTCGTCGTGGTTGGTGCCTGTGTTGTAGTCGTCGTTGTCGTAGTCGGTGGTTTTGTCGTGGTCGTGGTCGTAGCGGTAGTTTTCTGAGCAGATGCTTCAGACTTCTTATTTGTTTGTTCTGTAGGGATGTTGTTGCCACTTATTGGTCCAGTCATGCCGTTCTTAACTTCTTTCGGAGCTTCCGTAACTGTTGGCGATTCTTGAACAGTCAAAACTTCTCCCCCTCCAACACTTTCTTCTACTTCCACAACCGGCTCCTTTCTTGGGAACCCTGTTGCAGAGTTCGATTGACTGGTGACGCTTCCATTAGCTCCAGGCACAGTTGATGTCGGTGTTGTCACCTGTGACGAAGCGGCAGATTGATCTGAAACGCACACAGACGGGCAGAAGCACAGGGCAAGCACCAGCAGGGCGCACAGCAGACGGCACGTCATCATCATCGTGAGTGTGGTCGTTCAGTGGTGTGGAGCTGATCTGCACAGTGAGGGACATGGAGAGCAACAGGGGAGACGAGAGGTGCAGCAGACACACACAGAGGGCACACCACATGAGGAGAGGGCAGCAGCCAGGCATGCACCGTACGCCGCACACCACGCACGACACACACTCCAATCCACGGCAGCAGGCACACACACACAGCCCTGCCGCAACAACAACACACAGATGGAGGAGGGAGAAGCAAACAGGAGCGGCACACAAGGCTCCACCGCATGCACATACGGCGAGAGCGGTCCGTCGTGTCGGCACCCCTCACGGAGGGTACGCACACACACAAGAAGGTGCGGCGCACACAGCAACACAAAAGCATAGTAACAATTAAAAAGGAGATCCCCGCACACCACGCGGATTGTTGGTCCATGGGAAGTGCAGCCAATATTCACCACAAGCAGTTCAGTTGCAGTAGGCCTTCGTCCACATTCATCGCACTCAATTTCATGCAGGCCCGGCCACCACCGCAACAGGAGCTGCTGCACACGCAACAAGAAACAAGAAAGGGAGGTGGTGTGGGAGACTACGGTGCTGCTGTCACTGCCGCCATGCGAAGCTGTGTTTATGATGTTAGTGGCGGTGGCGGTGTCCCTCGTGAACTCCTCGTTGTGGACTGCGGGGGTAACTGTGCCGGCTGATGTGCCTTCGATTTTGTTGTTGCATTCTTCTTCTCCACTTCTTCTGTGGAGGGTCCGGCGTCCTCTCCGTTCAGGTGGCTCGCATTATGATTGGTCGTGGTGGTGCTGGCGGCGGCGTTAAACTCTGCAGCTGGAAGAAATGCAGTGCAGTTGTCAGCCTCGGCAGCAGGCGCTTTGTCCTCACGCCGGTACGTTTCTGTTTTCTCTGCAGCGACAGAAAGTGGAGGCTGTTTGGGAATCTCCTGCACGGTGCATTCCTCTTTCCAATCTAATGCAGCAAAGCCGCCATTTGAAAAGGACGATGACTGCGATGGCCTCTCATAAATGGGAGATGGTGCATGCTGCACGGTGTCTTGGTGTGCTGCAACTTCCTTCCTTTCTGCCTCATCTCCACCAGCTGCTTCTACCGCAACTTCTCCTCCCGATTCTTCTTGTGGTGCATCACCCGGTACTTGTGCAGAAGTTGTGTTTGAACCCGCATCGTGTTTTGGCGCTACATTCGCCATTCTCTGGCCATGAAACTTCATGTCGGCTGTCAGACCCTTCTGCCCCTTGCGGCGGTTCCTGCCCCTGCTGTTTGTCTTATTTGTTCGTCCGGTACTGCGGCTGGTTTTGTTGGTTGTGATCCTTTTCGTCCCCCAATGGCAGGCTGTGATGGGGGCTGGGCTCCTCCCTCTGTCCCACCGCCCCCGATGACTCAGCGACTTTCAACTTTTCATCCTGAGCGGATTAGTTTTCCCGACTGCCGGTGGCGCGACTGCCATCCGAAGAGGGCAATGCTCGCTCCCTTTGGGGCGCGAGTTCCAGGCGCCCCACCGTGGCAGGAGCCATCAGCATCCGAGCCTTGCCTTCTGAACCATTCACAGTTGACTCCTCCCGCTGTCCAACACCACTCAATGCGTCGTGTGACTCCGACACATTCGTTTTCATTTCGGGCGGCAAATAACGCCATCCCGCTGATCCTCCACATACTGCCGGTGCCGCTGGTGGCGCGCCGCCTTGTCTTCTCCTCGTTCTAACGGCAGGCGATCTACGCGGCTGGTGACGCATCTCGTTGAGTGTTCATTGGATTGCAGCATACCCCCTATCCTCAGCGGTGTCAGCGGCAACGGCAATCCCTTGGCGCCTCCAACGACGACGGCCATCCAATTACGCACGCATTCCTCCACGGCGGACGCATTCGTCCTGCCTCCTGTCCTTCTGCTGCCATCCATCGCGCACTCCCTCCGCAGCTGAGCACGCCACCGCAGGAGCTAATACTCACAGGTACCGCTATCGTCACCACACCACAGCACGCAGAAAGCACACACAAGCGGCATACGGCCAGTCATCATCGCCACCACTCCTGTCTCTTGCGTGTAGCCTTCAGCAAAAGTAACACCACGTCAACAGAGAGGGAAGCAAAAGGAGAGAGACAGCCGCTACACCACGCACAGCAACAAATGGCAGCACCCCAGCAGCCGCAGCAGCGCACACACCACGAGACAGATGGAATCAGTACGATTGCAGAGCTCGCACACCGCACCGCAAACCACAAGCTTAAGAAGCAACAAAAAACAATAATTAAAAAAAGAAATTAGAAAAGAAAAACAAACCCAGGGCTCCAGTGCGCATGCGTATGAGTGTGTCCGGGATGCGTTCAACGTGGCGGATGCGGGGCACAGCGCGGAGCACACAGCACGGCAGCAGAAGCAAGTGAAGCAAAACACGATCATTATTTCCTCTTATTTTATACAGTGAACCACAACACACGCGCACAAATCCCCGCGGTTGAGTGCTGGCACGCACAGCCCGCACACACCTCTTCAGCCCAGAGCGGTGTACGCCAGCGCGGATGCGGCGAGCAGCAGCGGGGCACACACCCACGCAGAGCTGCTGAGGCTGCCGTCCATTTCGCGAAGACTTGACGGTGCGCGGGTGGTCGACACAGCTGGCGCCTCTGTAGTCGTAGTAATTGGTGCCTGTGTTGTACTGGTGGTCGTCGTGGTTGGTGCCTTTGTCGTAGTCGGTGGTTTTGTTGTGGTCGTCGTCGTGGTTGGTGGTTTTGTCCCTGACGTGTCTTCCGCTTCCTTAACTATTCGTCCTGAGGACGTACTCGTGCTACGCGTCGTCTCTGTCATACTGTCCTTACCTTCTCCCTGTGACTCATTGGACGCGACAATTGCTTTCGGTCCCGGTTCAGCCAAACCTTGTCCATTTTCGCCATTTTTCAACTGAGCCTCTCCGCCAACTTCTGGTTTCGCAGCCGGCTTAGGCACTGGTGGTGCTCCTGAAGCAGAGAACGATGGGTTGGTGGAGCTTACAGTATCTTGCAATTGAGCCGTCAAATCCTCTGCCGCGCAAACGGACGGGCAGCAGCACAGGGCAAGCACCAACAGGGCGCACAGCAGACGGCACGTCATCATCGTGAGTGTGGTCGTTCAGTGGTGTGGAGCTGATCTGCACAGTGAGGGACATGGAGAGCAACAGGGGAGACGAGAGGTGCGGCAGACACACACAGAGGGCACACCACATGAGGAGAGGGCAGCAGCCAGGCATGCACCGTACGCCGCACACCACGCACGACACACACTCCAATCCACGGCAGCAGGCACACACACACAGCCCTGCCGCAGCACCAACACACAGATGGAAGAGGGAGAAGCAAACAGGAGCGGCACACAAGGCTCCACCGCATGTACATGCGGCGAGAGAGGTCCGTCGCGTCGGCACCCCTCACGGAGGGTGCGCATACACACAAGAAGGTGCAGCGCACACAGCAACACAAAAGCAAAGTAACAATACAAAATGAAATCCCCGCACACCACGCGGATTGTTGGTCCACGGGAAGTGCAGCCAATATTCATCACAAAAACAGTTCGGTTGCCGTATGCCTTCGTCCACATTCGGCGCACTCCACTTCATGCAGGCCCGGCCACCATCACCGCAGCAGCAGCCGCACACGCAACAACAACAAGAAGAAGAAGCGAAAGAGGGGAGGTGGTGTGGGAGACTGCGGTGCTGCTGCCACTGTCGCCATGAGAAGCTGTGTCACGTGTTTTGTTGTTTGTGGTTGGCGCTGCTGTGGATCCTGCACTCTGAGGTACCGTATCATATTTTTTGGCTAATACAGCTTCACCATCGGAATTCATGCCGGGTGATGTGGCGCCTTCAATGGATTGTCGGTTCGGATGATTGCTGGTTGGAGTGCCTTCTGTGCCAGTGTCAGACCGCACGGCTGTAGTTATCGTGGTGCTGTTGTCGCTGCCGCCAGAAACGGTTGTGCCAAGTGTGTTACGGGCGGTGGCTGCTGGTATTGCTTGCGATTGGCTGCCAGCAACAGTTTCATGCTCCGCTCCTTCTTGCAGTAGTGCTTTGCCGGATCGTTCGTTATTGTTGGAAATGTCCTCCGCAGCGCGCCCTTTTCCTAGAGTAGAATTCGGACCATTTCCAGTTGTAGAGGTGGATGAAGAATGTGTTTGTTGTTGACTGACAGCTGGTATATCTTGTGTGATACCTGCGCCAGTTGCGGCTTTATCCTCCGGTGAGTCCTCTTCGGTGTCCCCTTTAGGTGTTGTCTCTCGCCCCACCACTGGCGTCAGTGCCGCTGTTGATGCTGCTTGTTCCACTGTGCCTTCCTGCTCCTTCGCCCCTCGGTCTGCTGCTGGTGGATGGCTGTCGCTCGTGGAAGATACGCCCAATTGTTCTTCATTCACGGTGGTTATTACTTCACCCTCCGCAGTCGCAGCATCATCACCACAAACACCACCACCATTTTCTAATTTTGTTTTTGCGTTGGGCGACTGTTCTGGCGCACTGAGATCGCTTTTCCCTCCTGTTCCCGCATCAGTGTGGTGCGAAACTTGAGGCACTAATTCATGCTGATCCCGTACGACTTCACGCCCCTCTTTTGCAAGAGTTAAGGCATCCTTGGATTCATTTAAACCCACACCCTCACCAACACCGGGAAGTGAAGGTTTGCCACCCGTAGGAGCAGAACCCGGCAAGTGACTTCCACTGCTCACAGAGCTTCCATCAGTGACATCTCCATTATCACCATGACCCCCAACTGGAGAAGAAGGTTGACCAACACTCCCAACAACACCTTGGCCGGAATGCTCACGATCCTCCCCGGTAACTGCCGACACCAAAGGATACCCGCACCACAGCACGCAGAGGACACACACCAGCAGCACACGGCCAGTCATCATCGTCATCACTCCTGTCACTTGCGTGTGGCCTTCAGCAAAAGTAACACCACGTCAACAGAGAGCAAAAACAAAGAGAGAGACACAGCCGATACACCACGCACAGCAACAAATGGCAGCACCCCAGCAGCAGCAGCGCACACACCACGAGACAGATGGAATCAGTACGATTGCAGAGCTCGCACACCGCACCGCAAACCACAAGTTAAAAAGCAATAAAAACAATAATTAAAAAACAATAATTAAAACAGAAAAACAAACCCAGGGCTCCAGTGCGCATGCTTATGAGTGTGTCCGCGATGCGTTCAACGTGACGGATGCGGGGCACAATGCGGAGCACGCAGAACGGCAGCAGAAGCAAGTGAAGCAAAACAAGATCATTATTTCTCTTATTTTATACAGTGAACCACAACACACGCGCACAAATCCCGCGGTTGAGTGCTGGCACGCACAGCCCGCACACACCTCTTCAGCCCAGAGTGGTGTACGCCAGCCCGGATGCGGCAAGCACCAGCGGGGCACACACCCACGCAGAGCTGCTGAGGCTGCCGTCGATTTCGCGAAGACGTGACAGTGCGCGGGTGGTCGACACAGCTGGTGCCTCTGTAGTCGTAGCACTTGGTGCCTGTGTTGTAGTGGTGGTCGTCGTGGTTGGTGCCTTTGTCGTGGTCGTCGTGGTCGTAGTCGTCTGGGCAGCATCTTTGGCTTCCTGAGCTGCTTTATCTGCGGATGTATTAGTGCCATTTTGTCTTCCTGTCATACTGTCCTTGCCTTCTGTCTGTAAATTATTGGTCACGACATTTGATTGTGGTTCCCCAGGGGTCACACCTGGTCCCTTTCCGCAAACGTTTCCCTGATCCGGAACGGACCCCAAACCTGGCGACCCTGGCTGGCCAGCGGTCTCCTGTGATGGATCTGGTGGTGAAGGCGGTTGAACGACAACTACATCAGTTTTAGGGTCAGCCGTCTCATTGGGGTCTGGTAGCCGCGTTTGAGTCGCCGTTATCGTACTGGAAGAACCTTGAACATCAACTTCAGGCTCAGCGTCTGCCACGCACACGGACGGGCAGCAGCACAGGGCAAGCACCAACAGGGCGCACAGCAGACGGCACGTCATCATCATCGTGAGTTTGGTCGTTCAGTGGTGTGGAGCTGATCTGCACAGTGAGGGACATGGAGAGCAACAGGAGAGACGAGAGGTGCAGCAGACACACACAGAGGGCACACCACATGAGGAGAGGGCAGCAGCCAGGCATGCACCGTACGCCACACACCACGCACGACACACACTCCAATCCACGGCAGCAGGCACACACACACACAGCCCTGCCGCAACACCAACACACAGATGGAGGAGGGAGAAGCAAACAGGAGCGGCACACAAGGCTCCACCGCATGCACATACGGCGAGAGCGGTCCGTCGTGTCGGCACCCCTCACGGAGGGTGCGCACACACACAAGAAGGTGCAGCGCACACAGCAACACAAAAGCATAGTAACAATAAAAAAGAAGATCCCCGCACACCACGTTGAGGTGGCCGGCTGAGCCAGGGGCCAATATTCATCACAAAGCAGCTTGTTATCTTGTTTTGGTTGTATGCTGCTACAATAACGAGTGAGTAGCGCAAGGGCCGTCCGTACAAAAGTGGCAAGTATTCCGTCGTGCGGGCTGGGGCAGTCACAAACAGTCGCAGTCCAGTTCCCAACGACGAGGGCATTCCCGCAGTGGATGAGGCGGAGTCTCCCGTGGTCCGTCGGGGATCAGCAGCCCGTGGCGTCCGTGATGAGGCGGTGGCGGAAGAGCCTGGTCCATCTCGAGTACCCGCGGTTGTGCTTCCTGCGTGTCTTGCCTGCTGGCATGCTTGGCAACTTCGGCGGCGACCTGCGCGCGAGGCGCCTGTTAGGAAGACGGTGGCGCCATTGTCGCATCCGCATAGGAGGCCCTCGCAAACTATTATAACGCCAGGCTGAGCACGTCCGGCATGTGCCCTCGTACTGTGGACGGACAAGCGCACTCTGCCGCAGGTTGGGCGGGAGGACGTCAATCCGCCGCTCGCTGGTCGACAAGGAGTTGCGGCGCTCACGTCGGGAAGAGGTTCCGGCGGAGGCAGAGGCGGGCCGGTCACCGCAGTGAGGGAGGGCGCCACCGACACAGAGGGTTCCTTTTGATCCGCAGGGCGCGTGCAGGCCTGTCGAAGAATGGGCAGGAGTCGCATCGCGCCTGTGCGCAGTGCCGCCACTCGGGGACCGATGTCCGGGCCAACACCAGGAATAGAGTCCTCGCCACACCGACAGGCGCCTGTCACGCGGTGTGCGCGCCCTCCTTTTCCTCCTGGTCATCCTTCCGTTATAACCTCTTGACGGCGGTAAGGGATCCCACGTGCCAGGCATTGACGCAGTCCTCCGAGGGGGATCGTGCAATCGTGGCTTGTTTGTCAGCGGCCTCACTGCGTGGAATACCGCAGTGTGATGGGAAAATGTAAAATCCACAGGGTGACCTCGCTTCACCAAGGAAAGCAGCATAATCCAATTTACTCAGTAACGCGGTCTCGCACGGTCGGTGGGCAACGCGAGGTGCCTCAATCGCCGAGAGGGAGTCCGTTTCCTCCAGCAATCGTGTGGGCGATTGGGAGGTTCCCGGACAAGGAGGTATGAGATGTCTAAAAACATTTTCGATCGCAAGGCAGTCTGCCCTATATGAGCATGCGAGGCTGCCAGCTGCTGCACGATGTACCTCCACAGGGAGATCATTTGTCGTGGTGGAGTCATATAATAGCGCAGCGGATCCAGACGCGAGTGCAGCGAGAGACGAAGGACCGTCCGCCCACAATTCAAAATCACAATCCCCCAAAGAGGAGTGAGTAGAATAGAAAGCCGTGCGCCCGACATCGTCAGAGGCGTCTTCGGCAAGCAGTGGCTGATAAAATTTCACTTTGTTGCAGATCGCAGTGTCCCAGGGAAAAACTCGATGTTGGGCAAGAGGCGCGCGAATGTGGTTGTGGGGTGTCCCAATAATGTCACAGACGCGTAGCAATCCATTAATAACAGCATCTCTCGGAAGCGGATCGATGTCGCCGCTTTCCCATGCATGGACGAAGGCATAGGTTGCGAGTAGATAAGGGAACGCAAATCCTCGTGATCATGGAGGCGTATATAGCGTTCGTATTGTGTGATTGCACGACGCCAAAGTATCTTCCGGAGCGGAAGAATATTGGCCTCCAAATAGACGGATTTGTCTTCTGTAGATGCGCTCAGGCCAAGAATGTTTTGCTACCGTCGCGGTACCGTACCTCCATATTGTGGAGGTGTGGGGAGGCGAGTCACGGGACAATTGCCTCGCCATTATGAAATAGCACACTATGAACGTGTCCAATCAAAAAGGATCGCATGGTGTGATGGGACGCGTCCGCCTCTGCGACCAGACGCAGCTGATAGCGGCGTGGCATGGGCCTCTTTGCAGCGGTGGAAGCATGCGTAACAGAATTAAGAAGTTGATCGAACGTGTTGCCCAGTAAGCGCACTGAGTGTGACTGAATACGCAGGTTCCCGCTAACAAGATGGAGATCGACCATGTCCTCGTCAGACCGTGTGTGTGCGAAGGGATGTGGCATAGAGCAGCTTCGCTCTTAGCGACGTTGATTTTTAGGCTGTGCTCGGCAGCCCATGTGGCCAAAAGAGACAAGAGCGGTCGCATTGCCGCAGCACAGGCATGGATGTCCGCACCTGAGGCAACAAGTGTGTGTTCGTCAGCGTACATGAATGCGGAGGCAGAATAGATGCTGCCCAGGCGGCGCAGCAGACCATCCACACAGCAGAGGAAGAGTTGGGGTCCCGGGACGCCGCCTTGCGGTGCTCCAGCTGAGGCGAGTTGTTTCCGGGAGTGCTGTTCGCGAGTGCATACCCTAACATAGCGGCCCCGCAGGTAGTTGTGCAGCCAGCGTTTGGTTCGAGGCCAAGGCGCGGAAGTCTGTCAAGCATGCAGAATAACTTCCCATGGTCAGTGGTGTCGAACGCAGTCGGAAAATCAATCGAGACCACAAGCGATGTTGACGAGGGCGTCGTGTGGGGGCGTCGTCTCCAGGGCGCTCATGCTCCACAATGCCAAACTCATTCAGTCCACGAGTAATTTGTCGATAACAAGTGCCACCACGTCCGACGCAGAACGCGGAGGTGCAAATCCAAAATTGACGTGGGTGGTGCGGCAATAACGCCGACAGACGGCGGTGAATCATTCCTTCGGTTAACTTTGGTAAAACAGAGAGCAGCGTGATAGGTCTGTAACTCTCTGGGCGGCATGGATCCTTCCCAGGCTTGGGGATAGAAATAGCATCTCCCATTTTCCAGGAGCCAGGCAGGCTGCCGTTTGCGAAGGAGTTGTGGATCATCGTTCTAAGTGTGCCACGCGCGACGGGCCCGTGACGGTGCAGGAATTCATTCAACATTTCGTCGGGGCCAGGGGCTGAGCCAAGCAAAGAGTCACGGATGGTCACGTCAAGTACATACGGCAGGAAAGGCCGATCCATTTCCCAGCCACCAGGAACCAAAGGAGTGCAGCGAGCAGCAGCAGCAGTATAAGGCGGTATGGCACGTGAAACCGCACAAAATGACGGACAAGCAGATTTGCCTGTTGCCGAGGCAGGGCGCATGCGCGGCCAAGTTCAGTGCGGAGCACAACCGATTCCAGAGGATGAGGGTGCGACGCCGCCACGCCGTGAAGATATCGCCAGCTCGGGCTGGGTGAGGCTCCATGTCTTTTCGCGCAGGCCTCCAGAAGCACAGCGGAGCAACGGCGTAAGGCTTGATTTCGTTCCTCCCTTTTTTCGGGTACATTCGGCTCAAAACAGGCTGTCTCCGGGTGAGGCAATGTGTGTGCTTCGTGTGCTGCTTCTGCGGCGGACTCGGCCTGTTCCATTTCGTGTGTCCATATCTTTTTGGAGCTGTCACGGCTGCCGCGCGGGATGTGGCGCTCAGCTGCTCGTAAGATGCCTCCGCGAGGATCTAACCATGTGGACGCGGTGGCAAGAAGGGTTTCACACAACGATGTAAAAGCAGGCCAACCCGCTTTACGCAGGGCAAAGGTGGCTTTCTTCCGTCAAGGCAGCGTGTTTGCTAGTCGTGGAGTGCCATCGCCCATCTCGACCAAGTAAGATATTAAGCGGTGGTCCGAGTCCATGTAAGGGGCGAATGTCCAGTGGGAGATGCGTAGGGCGCAATACGCAGTCACGTCAGGGGACGAGACATTACGATGTGTGATCCGTGTTGCCTGTGTCGGGTAATTTGCCAGCCCAAAATCCATATCGATTAGAACAGCGGCGAAATTATTGCCTCCAGTCCTTGATGGTACATATGACTGTCCCAGAGTTCACGATGTAAATTCAGGTCACCCGCGATAATCTCTTCGGACACAAGCGACAAACGATATTGATAAATGCGGATTATTGACCGATTGCTGTGGGAGGGTTGTAGAGATTCGCCACGCAAATGCTGCGACAGCCCGGCGGAAATACACGGACAGCAATGGTCTCCAGGAGTTCAGTGCCGGGGAGCGACAGGCGCTCGCACGGTAGAGAGTGGCGCACCAGAACGGCAACACCACCACCGCGCCCAGTGAGGCCTGAAGGCAGTCATTATGGCCAGATAATTTCGTCGCAACGTCACCACGGTTACTTATTTCCTGCAGAAGAACGATGTCAGGTGGACGCTGCTCCAATCGCGCAGCAAATGCGATATTTTTCACGGACGAGAGGCCTGCAATGTTAAGCTGCCAAACAGTGATGTAGCCATCCTCCTCGGGCCAGGGTTCTTGTGAACGTCACCGCCACGGGTGACACCAACGGAGTGACCGCTGCGAAACGGTCGTGCAGTTCTGACCGACAGTCTGCAGGCAGACCGCCTCACCTCCCCGCACCGGGCATGGCGTGGAACCTTCTCGGGGGGTGAAGTCACCTTGGTCTCCGTCGTGCTCGCAGCAACGCCCTGCTGCGGAGTTCCTATACGCAACCAGAGCCCAGCACCGCGACAAGGTGCAACATCATCGCTGGGGACCGTGGATACTTGCGACCGATGGCGGTGTCGACGTCCCCAAGTCAGCCGGGATTGGCATACTGCTCTCATCCCTGCATTC